GCCCTCGCTTTACCTCTGATGTTTCGAGCCGGCTTACTCTTGACTCCCAGATTCCGTCGGGCGGGTCGGATTTTCAATTTTCGCCAGGCGGTGCCAGAGTACCTCCGTCTCTTTCGCCTCCTCGTCCTTCCTTCAGCCAACGCACTTTGCATGATTTTTTTTGGCGTTCTGAGCCATCTAATTCGAATTCCTTACCTCCAGATGGTGGTTGTGGTCAGTCCCAACCGTCGCCATCTGTCGATGCTTCTGACCTCGTGATTTTTTGCGTTAACATTCGTTCTTTCAGTGCACATCGCGGCGAATTATCTGCTCGACTCTCTCTTTTCGCTTCTCCTCCTCACATTGTCTGCTTAACTGAGACCTGGTTAAACGATTCTGTGCCGCATCCGTGTTTGCATGGTTATACGTCGATTGCTCGTAACGACAGTGCGCACCAATCCGGTGGGGTAATTGTTTTTGTCGTTGATCATCTTGTTCCCGCGTGCTGCCGACTTTTAATTTCTCCCACCGCGGAGTTGGCGTGGATTCTAGTGCATTGCAATTCTGGCCCTCTCCTTGTAGGATGTATGCACCGCCGGCCGCGATGCGGATAAATTGCTTCTATTGATGTCCTTCGGTCAGAATGGGGCAGTCTTCAGCATCAGAGCGTAGGCACAATTTTAGTTGGCGATTTTAATGTTCATCATGTGCCTTGGTTGATTCATAGCCATTCTACAACCCCGGAAGGGATGCATTTGAAGAATTTTGCGCAGAGCCGAGGTTTGTCACAGCGGGTGCGCCGCCCCACTCGGGGGGCTTATCTTTTAGATCTTGTTCTGACAGATGTTCCAGTTTTTTGAACTGTGGAAGTGATCAGCGAAATAGCTGATCACTGTGCTTCGTCCATCAGAGTATCTGTTCCTCCTCTTTCCTTTGAGCGCCTTCCGCGGAAGATTTGGAGTTTTAGTGAAGCCAATTGGGCTCTACTGAAAGCACGGCTACGCTCTCAGGATTGGCAGTGGATTTCAAATTGCAATCCGGATGTTTCCGCCAAGCTTTTAACGGACATTATTCTTGGCTTTCTGAGTGATTCGATCCCTTCTTCTTCCTTCTGTCATCGCTTTTCCCACCCTTGGTTGACAGATGAATGTTTGAAGCTGGTTGAGGAAAAAACCTTCGCCGCAGGAACTGAGTTCTTTCCTGCTGCGTGCCAGCGTTGTAGCGCGGGCTTGTTGCAAGCGCATAATATCTTTATAGAACACGCACGCGCTAAGCTTCGATCCCTTCGGCGAGGGAGCAAATTGTGGTGGAAGCTGTCCAACTCGATTTTAAGCCGGATTGCCAAGCCTTCATCTTATCTTTTGAAGAGATCAGACGGGTCTTGGGCTGTTGAGAGCCGGGGCAAAGCAGAAGTATTCGCGAAGAGCTTTGTCGGTAAATGGAGTTTGCCAGACCCTGTTTTAAATGAGTTTTCTGATTTGTCTATTTCCCTCACTGCTCAAGAGCCGGATGGCTTTCCCCGTGTCAGAGTGCGCACTGCGAAGTATTTTTTGGCCACGCTTAGAGCAGACAGCGGTGCGGGTCCTGATCTGTTGCCGGCGAGAGTGCTTGAGACTTGCGCCGTTGAGCTAGCCTTGCCCGTCTGTCTCTTAGCACGATCGATCGTAACGCACTCTCGTTGGCCTGCATCTTGGTGCTGTCACTGGCTGTTTCCACTGCGCAAAAAGAACGCGACAGCGGATGCAGATAATTACAGAGGATTGCATCTTACCGCCCAGCTATCGAAAGTCGTGGAGCGCATTGTTGGCACGCTGTTGATCCCTCGTTTGGAGCGGATCGGGGCGTTCGGCCCACGCCAGTTTGCATATCGCCAGCAGCGCGGCGTCCGGGGACACTCTCCTTCTCCTCTCTCTCTCTCTTGGCTCCTTTCCTTCTCCCTCTCTTCCCGGGTTGCCCTCTACTGCTCTGATGTGTCCGGTGCTTTCGATCACGTTGAACGAAATCGTTTGTGTGATAAGCTCCGTTCCTTTGGCGTCCAAAGCACACTCGTCGATCTCATGGGGAGCTGGCTCCGCCCTCGTTCTGCGCGGGTGGTGGTGAACGGACGGGGGTCCGAGCCTTTTCCAATGCAAGACATGGTTTATCAAGGCACCTTCTTCGGCCCATCCTTGTGGAATACTTATTTCTCTGATTCTTATTTTGCTACGCGTTCCGTTGGGTTTGAAGAAGTTTTATACGATGATGACCTGAATGCATGGAAGGTTGTTGCGCCGGCTGTCACAGACGAGGAAGCCTTCGCACTTGCGCGCTATTGCCAATCGTCGCTGCACGACTGGGGAAAGGCCAACCGCGTTAGTTTCGATCCCACCAAGGAGAGCATGCACATTCTGTCGCGCTCTCGCCCTGTGGGCGCCGGCTATAAAATTCTCGGCATTCATTTTGATACGAAGCTGTTGATGACTGATGCTATCGACAAGTGCGTATCTGGTGCCTCGTGGCGTTTGTGCAGTCTTCTTCGTACCCGCCGTTTCCATAATGATGCTGAACTGATTTGTTTATTTAAAGCGCACATGTTGTCATATATTGAATACCGCACGAGTGCTGTAAGCCACGCGTCTTCGTCGGTGCTGGTTCCTCTGGTCGCTCCCCCGACGCGTTTTTTTTTTTTTTTTTTTTTTTTTTTTTTTTTTTTTTTTTTTTTTTTTTTGCGTTCGCTCGATATTTCTGCTTTGGACGCATTGATGCATTTCAACTTGGCTCCTTTAGACACGCGGCGTGACATCAGCATTCTCGGAGTCATCCACAGGGCGGTGTTGGGGCTCGGTCCTCTCTGCTTCTCCCGGTTTTTCCGCTTGGCCTCCTCTCCCCCTCCACCCCGGGCTCCCAGGCGACACTGGCGGCGCGTGGAGGAGCCATCTTTCGAGTCGCCAGATTACATATTGCATTCTGCTATTGGGGCGACGCGGATATATAATCTTCTGCCCGATTATGTCATCAGCGCAGCGTCAGTTTCAAGATTTCAAGGGCGGCTTCAGCGCCTCCTCCGTGCGCGGGCCTGCCATTGCGATGACTGGAGCTCCACGTTTTCGTCTCGCGTCCCGCTCGCCTTTCATCCTCTTCGCGGGTGTCGCGACTGGCGCGGCTGATCCTCCTCGCCTCTGTCTCCCTCCTCCTCTCCCCCTCCCTGCCCCCCCCTTTCTCCCTTCCTCCTTCCCCTTCCTCCCTCCTGTCTGCTGCTGTTGGGTCCCGCCGTCGGCCTTCGTCTGTTGTTCTGCTGTTGCTGTCGTCCGTCGTCCTTTCTTTTCTCGCCTTCTCCTCCCCCCTGTCCTGTACTCTGTGCGGAGCGCAGCAGGGGCTGTTTTAACCGTTGCGCGTCCGGCGCCTCTCGCTCCTTCTCGTCCTCCTCGCTCTCCTCTGTTGTTGTTCTGCCTGCTGCTCTTCCTTCCCTCCCCCTCCCTCCCTTCTCCCCTTCCCCCTCCCTCCTCCTCCCTTCTTTTCCTCTCTCTTGTCGCTTCTGGCTATGCATTTGGCTGTCATTTCAAGGCCAGAAGCGATTTTCTAGGTCCTGCGGGCGTTTCACGGGCAAATCCATATTTTTTGGTGCTGCTTGTCGCCTGTCTCTCTTCGTGTGCCATTCGCCGTGCAACTTTTTGAGTGATGTTGACCTTCCGAGATCACGTGAGGAAACCTTATTGTCGCGAGGATGTTAAAAAAACAATTCTCATCAGTACGAATATTTTTTTGGTTCCAGCTCTGGTATCAGACCGAGTTCAGGCGTATATGTATTTGAGACTAGCGCTCCGGATGATTTGGTTTTGATCGCTGTGCCGGACAGCTCTTTAGTTTATTTGCAGCTCGAGTTAAATTAAGACAATTAGGGTCCGAATTCGGGTATCTAGAGACTTGAGACTGGCGCTTTTGATGATTCCCTGTCGATTGCTGTGCCGAACAGCTCTGTAGGTCATCTGCAGCTCGAGTTCAGGTATGGAAATTATGGTTATCTCGTAAAAATACCAGAGTACGAATAGTATTCTGTCTGGGTTGCAGTAGCAGACCGAGTTCAGGCATCTAGATTTTCGAGACTCGCGCTCCTGATGATTCCGTTTCCATTTTTTGCCGAACAGCTATGTAGCCCATTTGCAGCTCGAGTCCAGTTAATAAAACCGACAACACCTGCCAAGATGGGACTCAACAGCCGATCCCGCCCACATGCTTATTAATAGTAGTATCCATCCGATCGACTTGATATTAAGACGGCGAGCGGGAGTAATACCGAATATGAGGAGAAACAAATTCTAACGAATGCTCGAATTTCGAAAATTATTTGAAATAGGCCAAACAGACAAACTTTCCGTCGTGATTTTTCGGGCCAGTTAGCCCGCCAGCGCGCCGGAATTACTCTCTAGCTTCGCCGTTTCGCTCTTAGGGAAGCTCTACAAGTCATTTGGTTTATCATATATATATTTGGTAGGTTTGGATCTACCTGTTTATAATTTGCCTCCTTCTCCCTCTTCTCCCCCCTTCTTCTCTCTTCACTTCCTTCTTTTCTTCGCGTTTTCTGCGGCATTCTTGCACCAGGCTGCCGCGCAGGGCTGGCCGGGCAACAGTTTTTGTCACTAGGGACGTTTTAGTTTGAAACCCATCCCTTTTTTTGTGGTGTCTCGGGGCATGCTTGCCGGTTCGCCTTTCAGTGGCCCCGAATCGCCCTTCGCTGGTGCGGATCGCCTCTGCCTCGCCGACGACGGAAGAAGTGTGGTGACGTCACTCGATTGCGTTGAAAAGATAGCAAGCGTTTGGTGGACACTTCCGGGAGCAATTGGGACGCGCGGGAGTACCAGCTCCCGGCCCCCGCATCCTCTGCAGGTTGTCCCCAGAGGAACCAGCCCGGCCGAGAGGCTACCTTGGCGGTGGCCGGCTGCGAGAGCAGTCTCAGCGCTGCCAGCGTTGGAGCGTGCGATGGCCCAGATTGGGAGTGCTGCGGCCCCAATTCGGAGCGAGAGGCGATTGTGGGACCAGAAGGGATGGAGCTCACGGAGAAGCTGCGCCGACCAGCGAGCGCCGTCGTCAGCAGGTTTCGAGCAAGTCATGCTGGAGGTCTCGACCAGTCGATCGAAAAACGCATACAAACGACCCTTCCTTCCTTGGTTAGTTGGAGGACGTTAATTGGAGAACCAGATCTCGGCTGAGGTGGTTAGTTTGGGCGAACAAAGGGCTCGAAACAAGCTCGCAACGATGGAAGTTTGGCCGCGCGCCGCGGAGGCTGAGCTGGCTGCGCACAGCGACCATGCTGATGAGGATTTCGCCCGCGCCTGGCTGTTCCTGACCAGCACGCCGAAGGAGTGCCAGCGGCGCATCGCCTTCGCTCGGCATGCAGCGGCGGCGCACATCTGGAGCGAGCCCGATAGCGTTGTCGACCGCGGCGCCAGGGGCCACGATCGGCGAGACCCGCGCCGTGGAAGCGGCGATCACAGTCCCCGAGCATGCTTCGGCGGTCAGGGCCACCAACGCCGAGGCCGCATGTCGTGGCGACGCCATCGCTGCCGCGCGGAGGCTGAGCTGCGCGCTGAGGCCGAGCAGATGACTTCGACCCGCGACCGGCTGCAGAGCGAGTCGCAGCGGGCGGACACAGAGATCCGGCGCCGTGGTGGCCTGAACGTTCAGGACCATTGTGGCATGTGCCGAGAGATTGTTGTCGTAAGCGCCCTCGAACAGCGAGTCTCTGCGGCGCTGCCCACCTCCTCCTCCTCCCCCTTCCCCCCCTCCCCCCCTCCTCCTCCTTCTCCTCCTCCTCCTCCTCCTCTTCCCCCTCCTCCTCCTTCTCCTCCTCCTCCTCCTCCTCCTCCTCCTCCTCCTCCTCCTCCTCTTCCTCTTCCTCCTCCTCCCTCTCCTCCTTTCGGGGTCCCACTGCCACTGGCTGCTACAGAAAGCGGTGAATGTACGCCGCGTTTCATCATCATCCACGAAGCCAGGCCGCTGACACGAAGCAAAGCGTACTCGCGCAGCAGACGGGCGTTGACCCCTCGGTTTATTGCTTGTCCCTAGGCTGATTGCCAGGCAAGCTGCGCCACCGCGACAGTGCCCGAGGTGCGCGCTGAGCTGGTTTTCCGTGCGGGGCGCGCTGGGCCAAATTTTTGTTCAAGCCGCCGTATCTCGTTTCGAGCGCGCCTTTTCTATTCGTGGGAGTGCTCTTGAGGCAAGGTCCGTTCAAGGACGGTGCCGCGGCCATGGCATTTTTTGCCGCATTGCGTTGTTTCAGATTTTTTCCAGCACCTCTTTCTATCGGAGGGAGGAGAAGTGATACCAACACCACCAGGGGGGCCCACCTCCAGCGAGGAGGTCCACAATGCCTCCCCGAGCGGGAGACTGGGGATGTCTCGAGCGAGAGGGGGGGACCACACCACCAGGGAGACCCCCCTTGCCTTCGCGCATCTCCTCGCCCTGTTGGTGTTGGTGTCGCCTTCTCTTGTTCCTATTTCTACACACCCTCTGGCTTCAACTTTCTTCCATGGTCATGCCTCTCCGGCTCCAGCTGCCAGCGTGTCAACATCTGCCGCTCTGGGTCTGGCGCACGGGCATCGGGAACTGGTGCCCTCGCGTGAGTTTGCACCTTGGGCTGCTTCTTCTGTTCCTTCATCCCTTAATTTGCCTTTCCCCGCTTTTCCTTGAGGCCAGCACTGCTTGCTAGGTCGGTCCCAAGGGTACCTACCAACGCCGCGAGGCCCGCAACGCGGCAGTGCACCTCTGTTTTTTTCGTTTCGCTCGCAGGCTGCTTGCGACCACAGTAAAGGACGACACGTGATTACATCGCGCGGCAACTAACGATTCGCGGGAGGATCGGAGACGGGCTGCTTGAGTTCACCGATCTACGAGATGGCTTTCGCCCACTCCCGCCACTCCCAAGCCGCCTGCTGGCGGCTGGCTGGCAGACTCGCGCATCCTGTGTCCCAGCATGCGTCCCCGGGGGGCTCCTGAAGGCACGCGTGTAGCCGTCCCTGCACCGAGGCAACAAAACCCCTCCCCCGACACAAGTGCCACAGATCCAAGGATTCCCATATTTCCCATACTTTCGGGGGTTCCGTCTTCCCCCCAACTTCCCATCTTTTCCCATATTCTCTAGGGGATCGACGATTCATTGCGTTTGTGCTTTTTTTCCTCCTGCCGCTGCCTTTCCTCCTTCTGATCTCTCCTCCTCGCCCCGTCGGCGTCGTCGCAGTCGGCCGCGCAGCGTCGCCGCCCAAGCCGCCGCGCAGTGGCCCGTTGAGAAGCGAAGCTCCGTCGCCCCCGGCAGCACCTGGCCGAGCAGCCATGGCCGCCTCCGCGGAGGGCTGCTTCCGCGTCGGGGGCTCGGCGCGTCGTCGCGTTCGTGAGGCGTCTGGAGGGAGGATGCGGAAAAGAGGAGCATGAGGAGGAGGAGGAGGAGGACAAGGCGGAGGAGGAGGAGGAGGAGGAGGCGGAGGTGGAGGAAGACAAGGCGGAGGAGGAGGAGGAGGAGGCGGACGAGTTGGAGGAGGATGAGGGGGACGATGATGCTGCTGATGATGATGATGTTGATGATGATGCTGATGATGATGATGATGATGATGATGCTGATTATGATGACGATGTTGATGATGGTGATGACGTTGATGATGATGGTGATGATGATGCTGATGCTGATGATGGTGATGACGTTGATGATAATGATGATGATGAGGATGATGATGACGATGCCGATGATGCTGATGATGGTGGTGATAATAATGATGCTGATGATGACGATGATGATGACGATGCTGATAATGATGTTACTGATGATGATGCGGCTGCTGCCTATGGTGATGAAGATGATGATGATGCCTATGATGATGAAAATGATGATGAATCTGATGATGCTGATGATGGTTGTGGTGGTGATGATTATGATACGTATGCTGCTGATGATGACGGCGATGATGACAATGATGATGATGATGATGATGATGACGATTATGATGATGATGATGATGATGATGATGATGATGATGATGATGATGATGATGATGATGATGCTTATGATTCTGATGATGGTGATGATGTTGCTGCTGATGATGATGATGATGGTGATGATGCTGATGCTGATGCTGATGAGCATGATCATGGTGGTGATGATGATGAGGAGGAGGATGATGGTAAGGAGGATGAGGCGGAAGACGAGGACACGGAGGAGGACAGGGAACAGGGAAGGAGGAAGAGGAGGAGAAGGATGATGAGGAGGAGGAGGAAGAGAAGGAAAGTGATGATGATGATTCGGATGATGATGATGATGATGATGATGATGATGATGATGATGATGATGATGATGATGATGATGCTGCAGATGTTGATGATGATGACGATAGTTATGATGATGATGATGACGTTGATGATGATGATGCTGCTGATGCTGATGCTGATTATGATGATGCCGATTATGATGTTGATGTTGATGATAATGATGACGATGTTGAGGATGATGATGTTGATGATGCTGATGATGCTGATGATGGCGATGATTGTGATGATGATTATGCAGATGATGCTGCTGCTGATGATGATGGTGGTGATGCTGATGATGCTGAT